AAAACAAAACAAAACAAAAACATGGAGGACTTTGAGAATGTCAGACTCCTAAAAGACAAAACTGAGCAAAAAGTTGAAATTCCTTTTTGATCAGGTAACTCATCAATACAGGAAGTTGGTTGAAGAAACACTTTCAGAGACGAGAGCTTTAAGGAAACCCGACTTTGCTTCACCTCCACAGGCTCGCCGTCTCTAACCTCTGCCCCACCGTTCCCCCTTCTGCTCATTTTAATATGAACGAGTAAAACACAAGTACGGAGAGAAAAATCACTTTTTGTTTTGGGTTGCAAATTTATATTTACACCTGTGTCAACGTTTGTCTTAATGTGATCAAGAACTGGTCAGAAAATGAGTGAAAATGCAGACAAAGTCYAAAGAAAACTGCGAGAAGAAAAAAAGTTCTGCTGAAGGCCAATTACAAAGTCTGGCTCCTGAAATGTAAGATAGAAAAAGAATAYATCAAACCTTTTACACAGTAATACACTGTAGTGTAGTGGGTCATTGATTTCTACTGAACTCCTCAGGAGACTGACCCGTTCACTTCCACGAAAACTCCAACTAATTATTTACACTTGCAGAAGTTRGATATCTTAGTTATGATCAATAACTCTGTTTTTAAAGCAAAACTAACATGTCTCCCACAAACTTGCAATAAAAAATGTAAGTAAGGATTAAAAAAATCTATTGACACAAAAGTAAACAGTTTTTTGTCCTTTCAGCCTCTCAGACAAGTGCACAGACTGAAGCTGGGGATTTAAGCTCAGGTCCAGATGAATCGGGCAGTGGTGTTTCAGGTCGGCAGTGTGTGTGTGAATGTTACAGCTGTGAGGCGGGACGCTCAGTGTGGCTTCYTCTCAACAAGGTTACATGTTAGCATACAGGGTTGGGACGGGTTATATGATGCGTACGTACTCAGAGCCAATTAAAACTCACGTTTCATTCCAATTTCCAACAGAAGAATGACTTGTCAGGTTGTCTCTGTCACAAACCAATTACTTTAGAGTTTACACACACACACACACACACACACGCACACACACACACACACACACACACACACACACACACACACACAGTCAGTGACATTTCTGCTTTGGTGCGTTCGTACTTTTTTTTCTTCTTTCACACATCCTCCCTGTATTTCATTGTGGAAAGCGATTATCCTGACAGAACGCAGGGAAGTGAGAGGGGAGTGTTAGCTTGAGGCGAGCGCACAAAAAAAAACGTGCCCACAGACAAACTATGGGGTCCCATTTGTAAAGTTACACAGTCAAAAATTACCACCAATATTTTTGTTTTATTTAAACTTTTATAAGAAAAAAAAGA